CTCCTCAGACAGTGCGAGGCACCTGGAGGCTGACAGATGTGAACTGATGTCTTGCCAGACCTTTAACTGAGATCCAGGGGTCTGGTTTTTGTTTTTGTTTTCTACCGTGTGTGTGTGTGTGTGTGTGTGTGTGTGTGTGTGTGTGTGTGTCATACCTTTTATTTACTTATCTATGTATTTTAAGTCAGAGAACACAGCCTTACGGCATAATAGTTCAAAGCACGGGCTTTGGAGACAGACAGCCATTCTGAGTTCAAATCTCCACTCTGCCATTCACTGGCTGTGTGGCTTCAGACATGACGCTTAACTTCTCTGTAAAATGGGAAGAAGAATCATATCACCCTTCAGAACTGTGGTTAGATGGCGATGAGGTAATACAGACAAAGGAGAGCAGATAACGCTCAGCCTTGGCACTGACAAAGGTCTCCGTGTTTCCCTCTCGCGCTGACTCCCATACCAGGTCTCTGTGACAAGTGGTCACCTGCAGAGGTTGAACTCTGCCATTTGCGACACAGCATTCTCTTGCTTGGTGTTACATTTTTCCCAGCAGAAAGAGTGGAGGAGCCTTGGAGTAGATTGAATTGATGTCGAGCTTGCATAACCAGGAGGCAGGGAAAAGCTGATGAGAGCCCAAGGCCATCTGCCCCAGACATGGTGTCCCTCAGGTCTCCGTTTTATGGACTGGCCAGAATTTAGAGCTAAGACTTGGATTTTAGTTAGTTCCCTTGTTTTGTTCTGTCTTTTGTGAGAATTGTGATTAGTATAGCTTTTTAAAATTAAGCTTAGCTTTCTGTGCATAGAATTTAAATCTGTGCAAAATAAGTGGGAAGAAAAGACTCTTCTGTGTAATCAAATGGCCTCTAAGTCCTTTCCAAAGAAAAGGGGTGAATTGTAAAAACTACAGAACGTCAGGAATAGAGAGGATGACTAATTCGGGACAGCATTTATGACCCGCTGCTTAGAGTCTGAAGACCACCATTCAAATGAATTGCAAACCATTATTTGGCACCAACTTTGCCATGATAAATATGACCTCTGAATGAGTAACAGAACTCCTGGACACGGTGCATTTGTCACCAGCAGTCCTGCACAAAGCCCCCGTGTTATAGGATTCCGTTTATATGAAGTGTTCAGAAAAGGCAAATCTATTGAGACAAACCTGCAATGGCTTAGTGATTGCCTGGGGCTCAGAACAGGAAAGAGGAAGGACTACAGCTTGGGCTTGAGGTTTCTTTTTAAGATTGTAAAATGAGATGTGATGTGGCTGACAACTCTATAAATTTTATAAATGTCACACTTAAGACGGGTAGATTTTATACTAAGTAAATTATACCTCAAAGCTAGTAAAAAATTCAACCTGTGTGAATAGATGGAAAAATTCAACTCGTGTGAAGATATTGGTCAAATGCCATGTTTTTATGAGGTATCTTTAAAGAAAAAAGAAACTTTCCAGGCAGAATTACCAGCCCATCTTTTTGGTTCCTATTACTACTTACTTATAGCCAGTATTCAAACAACAGGTAGTAGCTGGCATTCATGTCCTGGGCACTGAGGAATGAGAAAGGACAGAAGGGAAGGACATCTCTTATTTGTTTTTGTTTTTTTGTTTTTTTTTGGTTTTGTTTTTTTAACTGTGGTAAATATGCATAATATAAAAATTACTATTTTAACCATTTATAAACATTTTTTTTCAATTTTTTAGAGAGAGAGCCAGAAATATTGATTTGTTGTTCCACTTTATTTATGCATTTGTTGGCTGTTTCTTGTATGTGCCCTGTCTGGGGAATCAAACTTACAACCTTGGCATAGTGGGATGTCGCTCTAACCAATGGAGCTGCCTGGCCAGGGCTAACCACTTCTGTTTTTCTTAATGTTTAGCTGTTTGCTTGTTTTTCTTTTTGTAGTGACCCATCTTAATTCTCTTGTCATTTCCCTTTGTGAATATTCTAGAAATATTTTATTTGTGGCTACCCTACGGATTCCAATATACCATCCTAAAGTTACAAAAGTATTTTAAATTTATATAAACTTCAATTGCATACAAAAACTTGATTCATTTACAGCTATATCCCTCCTCTTTGTGTTCCTGATGTTACAAATTATAACCTTACATACTGTGGGTCCATTAACACAGATGTATAATGACTGTATACATGCTTCTTTTAAATGATTTTGTGGGCCTCCTACAGCCCGTGGGCCAGGCATTCCTCACCCCTGAATGAATTGACAGAGTTTAGTGACTTATTACAGGCCGGGAGCTGAGGAGAAGGGCATAAATGATGGTATCATTCCTGAAGTCAAGGAGTATAGGGGGAGACATTTTGAAGAAGCTGATAAATTATTAAAATGTTAATTTTTAAATTGCAGAAGACATGGTGTATTGCGTTTGTAATACAAAAACAAAGTGAGGTGTAGAGATGAGGCGGATGCCAGACCCAACGCCAGCCTGCCCCTTGGCGTCGGCATGGCTGCCAGCGTGGTGTGTGTCCTCTCATGCATGTTCTGTGCATTTGCATACTTACCTGGGGAAAGGGATAGTATCGCCTTGCGATGTGTAACTTAATATTTACTACTCTGTCCTGGAATTTTCCCTCAGACAGCTGATATTTTAGAAGCTCTGCTAAATCAGTGTGTATGAAGTTACCGACTGCTGCATAGCGTTCCATGGAATAGAGTCACCCAAAGAGCCCATTCGTGCATTTTAAATTTTGTCCATGATGCTGCCATGAATATACTTCTAGATCTTTTGTCAATTTGTGCGGTTTCTTCCTGCAAGGAATGGTTACTGAGAAATGGGATTGCTGGGTGCTAGGGTGTAAGCTTTTATTTTGATAGTTACTGCCAAACTGCCCTCCACGTGGCTGTTCTGACTGTACAGTGGATAAGAGTGTTCTCTCTCCCACACGCTCATCAACACTCCATGTTTTTCTGAGTGAAAATGGATATGTCATTGCTTTAAATTGTGTTCTCTAGTCATGAGTGAGGGCACTGAATCACTTGTTTTTATCTTTTCCCCATTAGTCTGTTGGACTATATTTTTCTTTTGGATTTGTAGGAGTTAATTTTTTTTTTATAGCCAACCCTTTACATTTTTGTCACCGATACCTTCTTTAGTTTCTTGTTTGTCTTTTAAGTTTGTTTATGGTGTGATATTAATTTTGATGGAAGGAAATGCATTAGTGTTTGCTAAGGTTTGGTTAAGAAAAGCCTTACTGCCTCCCATTGTCATAGGCACAGCCACTCCATGTTCCACTCTGTCATTACTATTTTTTAAGGTTTGAAATTGAGGTGCCAGTGGGAAATTTGAGTAGAATTATGTAAATGGCAGGTGAGTGCTTCAGAATGGAGTGGAAGTCAAAACCAAATTGAGATAGAGATCGGGGGTCTCCAGAGGGGAGGAGGAGGGTGAACTAATGGCACAGAGGAGACTGTCAGGAAGAAAGCACGTGAAGGGAGGAGGGCAAGTGCCACTGACATTAGCATGAGGCCTGGAAGGAGGGATCAAGAGGGAGGTGGAAAGCCAGGGAATGAAGGGGAAAGGCACCAAGGAAGACAAGCTGTAAGAAGGCGCAGGAGCCTTTGGGTCAATGTGATACCCACCAATCTCTATTGTCCCCCAGTCATTTATTTGTCTATTGTTTTCCAGGAGATAGTGTCACAGAGCAGGCACCAGGGTTTATTCACATTTATATTCCTAGAACTGAATGGGGTCCTGCCCATAGTGACATTTGTCCATCCAACATCTAATGAAATATATAAAGTTTGTTGAATGAATACATTTTGCAATCTGCCTCTTTCCTTGAACCAATTTGTCAAAGAAAATCTTACAAGTGACAGAACTGGCTAGGAATTGTGGGAAGGCGCTGTGACCTTTTGCTCGCAGGGTATTAGCTAAAATGGGAGAACTGCCTTGAACAGGCCTAGGGGGCACCACGGGGGCTCAGCTGTCCCCGCTGTGCTGGGAGGACTGTGGGTGTGTCCACAAGAGCTGGCTTCTTTTCAGCGCACGGGCAGCCATTCCACAGCTTCAGAGCAGCCACCATTCCCCTGGTATTAGTTAACCAGCAGGTCTACCGAGCACCTTTCCATGAATGGTCTTTCTGTAAATTGTCTGTGCGACCCAGTCCATGGGATAAAGGAATTGAGTCATTTATAAGATAGTCTGTACCTTAGCCTGTGGTGGAATTTCTCACTCAGAGTATAATCCTATATAATAAAAGCGTAATATGCAAATTGTCCCCTCAACCGGGAGTTAAACTTCGAGTTCAACCAGGTGGCAGGGCTAGCCAACCTCCTGCATCCCCTCTTCCCAGCTAGCCTGGCCCAGATCAGCCCCAATTGGGGCCAGGCCATCCAGACCCCACATGTGCATGAATTTCGTGCACTGGGCCTTTGTTTAAGTCATAGACACACTGGCCTTAATAATGCATAATGGTGGAGAGGAAAGAATTCCATTCCTCCTGGGTGCTTTGACAAGCATCTCGTGTTAATCCATGAACTCAGGAGAACTCAGAGCTCAGTGTGCCTGGAAAGGAGAGAGTTTTCGTTTGTTTGTTTGTTTGGAGAATTGGAGAATGACAGGAGGGAAAGAGTAGGCAGAAAAAGTTTAAAGTCATAAGCAGGAAAACAACAGTGAAATGTGATAGGTAAGGACTAAGTAGCAAAGTTGAAACCTAAGAGAAGTGAAAGCAGCAAGAAGGAGGGGCAGGAGATGTAGACCAGCAGTCGCCAACCTTTCGGACCTCACAGACCACCAGTGCGGGGACCACCAGTGGGCGACCGCTGGTTCAGATTGAGTGCCAGGGCTGGAGGTGCCAGGTGTGCCGAGAGGAGAGGGGCAGTCCAGGTAGGACCACCAGCAGGTCCTCCTCCCTTCCTGTCCAGAAGCTGGGACAGAGGAGCCCACGTTGGCTCTCCCGTCTGCCCACACTTCCCAGAGTTCCCGTGTGGACACGCTGCGAGTCCACATCCGAGCTGACAGAGCACACACACGCAGATGCTGCAGACAAATTAAAATTTACTGAGACAGACAGAAATGCACCTACTCGGGACTACAGTTAAGCAGTTACTATTAACCAAAGAGTCATGTTCACATTCCAGATAAGTCTACGTCAAAAAGCATTCAGAATTTACTAGTTGTCTACATCACTATTCCATTTACAAGAGGGACAGCAAACTGACACTGGGATTTGGTGGCTCTCGTTACAAATGCTACACACGGAACAGGGACACACATCAGCGACATTGAGAAAAAGGTATAAAAAGACCCGAACCACCCACTGCAGAAAGGACTCTGGGATGTTACTGTACAGTGTGGCCAAGATGAAAACAAAAGAATGGAATCCTGGGCGAGGCAGAGGGCAGACCTGGGCAAGGCATCGTCATTCCCTGCTGGGCCTGGGGAACGGGCCTACAGAGGGGACACCGATCCAAAACCTCATATTCCACATGGCGTGGCTTCCATGCCTAGAATATCCGTGGACACAAAAAGACATCGATGTGGCAGACACCTAAGCATGGTGGGAGAAAATTCTAGGATTTAAGTTGGATGCCAAGGAAAGAAGTCTTTATGAAATATGAATAAAATTATTAGCAAAGAAGCTTCCAAAAATGAGCGAGGATTCAATGCCCATCTCAGACAAGGGACTAGATAATCACAGAAGTATTTTCATAATAATTTTTATGGATACCTTGTCACTACCTAAAGGACTCCTGCCAAAGAAAGGAAGCAACAATTCTCCTTCTAAGGCCAACGTAACTAAAAGAATCTAATCTTTAGTAATGTTCACAAGTGGAAATCATTAAATATTTTAAAGAATCTAGTGCTGCCATGCCAGTGTGAGGCACAAGAAGTGGCTAATGGGGCTCTGCTGTCCCGGGATTCTCCTGGCAGGAGGGCTTCTTATGTCATATTTTGATGAGCCAGATACCTTCTTGGAATGCCTCTGAAAAGGAGCAGCTCAGCACTTCCTGGGAACCGACTCCTGAGCACTCTTCTCCATCATTAAGCTAATGTCAAGGAGCTTTAAGTGTCTTTAATCTGACACTTGTCATAAGATAATTAGTTTTGCTAAGGGAAATCAATTTGTTGATTTTAATTTCTCCTCTCGTGCATTGTCCCAAGCTTGGAGGAGACGGTGACAATGGTTTTCTTTGAGGGCCTACACTGAGATTTTTTTTAATGTCTTTTTTTATATACTCTCTTGTAATTTAGCTGCAATGAAGCACCTGTTTTCTAGACGATGACCTCAAAGTTTTGTGCAGGTTAGGAAAAGAACATTAACAGGGAGGTGAGGGAGTTGCGATCTGAATACCGAGCTTACCAGTGACCTCCCTACGTCTGGGATCCAGGGTCCTGGCTACCCTTGCGTCTATGGGGCCTAAGGGATTCGCTACATCAGGCTTGTTCATTTCCCATCTGAGACTACAGCCACTTTGTCCAGGTTGGAAAAGGCTAGCTGAGGTGAGTAGGGAAAGTACAGAGAAATGGGCATTTTGGGGTGGACAGTTGGTCAGCTGCCACTGCGATCATGGTTTGGCTGAATCCATTCTTTTTTTTTTTTTTTTTTTCCTGAGTTTACGTCTTTTTGTGGACTAGCTGGAGCTTACAGGGACAGGAAGAAAAACAAATGTGGGGCAGAGAGCCTTGCCGGGTGGCTGGTGGGGCACCCAGGTGGCCAGGTGCTGCAGGGCCTGCACTGAATGGCAGGGGCCACGCTGAAGACTGCTCTTTGGTACTCATCCTGGAGCCGGGGGCAGTGACGACTCCACCAAATGTTACTGAGGGAAAGAAGCACAAATGGCGAAGGGCTTTCTTCATTCGGACCTTGACACTGATGTGGGTGAGGGTGTGGAGACGGGACTGGCTCTGAAAGTCCAACCCTCACTCTGAAGCTCTTTCTAGGCCTCGGTGGGGGATCCTGTATTGCTTGTGTCTCACATCATGATTTGTGGATGGAATTGGGGGCAAATGCTAAACCTGGAGTTCAGAATCCTAATTTTTCTTCTCCTAAGAAATACGTGTACTGACTCTTGGTGAGCAGGGGCATGTGGCCATGCCTTAGAGAAGCCCTTGGTAGGCAGGGGAGGCGGGACCCTGGGCAGACAGGATGCTGCGCCCGGGGCTTCGGGTGGAATGAGGGGAATGGCTTGTGAAGCGGCCCACGCGGGGTTGCATGGTTTGGGCAGGACAGGTGAGTTCGGCAGACAGAGGCCCATCCTAGTCAAAGGGGCTCCAGGAAGGACCCTCCTCCGCCTGCAGCTACCAGTGCCAAGTGTTAGTGCAAAAACGGACCTGGGGACACTTTGTTCCAGAATTGTGATCCGGGTTGGACAAGCTGTCATTGTTTTCTGAGCGGGTGTGAACCTGGCTTCCACACACGGTCTCTCTGTAAATGTGTGCATATTTACACATACACACACACACACACACACACACACACACAGAGAAGTGTCCAGAGACCATTCTTAATAAAGAAAACCAGTTCCCCAAAAGGATTCTTGACTGAATTAAGGCCGTTGTTTGTAGGAAGCCAGATACAGTGACGGGAGTAACTAATTTTTAACAACACACACCAGGGGTGGCGGGCGCGGGGGGGAAGGAAGGACGGTGTGGCGTGTTTCCCACGACATCCACGAGACAGAAGAAAAGCACTTAGACACCGTAAGGCGGGAACCATGCTGTACAACCACTGGAGTGGGGAGTCGGGAAGGGTCTTTGATGTTGAGAGGGTGGGGCTCCCTGCACCGTCAGAACCCCACGTCCACCACATGCTCGCTGGACAAGTCTCATGGGAGGGGAGGAGGCTCTCCTTCGGCAGCCAGTCCCGTCCAAACACCAAACAACACCTTCCTCCCCACACAGCCCGCGCACAATCGGAAAGCTCTGGGAACAGGGGTCGTCCGGATGGCAGGCCCGCCGGAGAGCAGCAGGGAGGAGAGGCCGTGGTGCGCGGAGTCTGAGATACAGATGCGGGACGGGAAGGGACCTGCAGTCTGTGCCGGCCGTGGGCCGTGCCCTCTCCCCGCGGGCACTACCATATGTAGCCGACCTCGTCCTCCTTGTCGTCGTCCTCGTCCTCATCGTCCTCGGTCGCCCGGGTGTGCGCCCGCAGCCTCCCCGGCTGGTCCTTGGGCCCCGGCTCCCGCGCGTCCTCGAGGTCGTCCAGCAGCACCACGGAGCCGCCGCTGCCGAAGTCCCCCGAGGTCTCCTGCTCCTCTTCTGGCCACGCCGGAGGGGGAGAGGCTGAGGTGAGTTTCTGCTGAACTCATGACCCCGTCAGGGGCCCCCTGCACCCGACTTCTCTGCAGGGCTAACCCAGGCACTGCGCTTTCCAACGCGGAGCGTCCCTGCCCAGCGGGGGCTAATCTGCACAGCACAGACCCTGGCTTTGTTCTGGGGGGAGCCCAGAACTCCTGAGATGCTGCTGCCTTCTCGGAGGGTTATGATCCTAATTGAGAAGTGAAGGCAACCTGAGTTGTTCTTGGCCAGCAACAGGTCCTGACTGTCAGAAACTGTCCTCCAGTCCAGTGGCCACAGTGAGGACCGGCCGCTCCAAAAACAGGCTATGCACAATCTCATGCAGTTTCAGGGAGGTTCTGTCTCCCCACATCAGTGTTTCCCAAAGTGTGGTACGCGTACCCCCAGGGGCACGGGAAGAGTTTGGCGAGGGTACGCGTTGCACCGGAGTTTGGTGGGGATATGCACTGCACCGTGCTTAGCTGCGCCTAATTCTACGTTCTCATGAGTACGAGGGGTACTCAGCGTTACGAAAATTATAGAAGGGGTACATGTATGTCAAAAGTTTGGGAAACACTGCCGGGCCTACATCACGGTCCTGACTATTACTCATGTTGATTGGGCCTAAGGGGTTCGCTACATCAAGCTCATTCATTTCCCAGCTGAGGCTAACTTCAGGGGTAAGGCACTCACGGCAGACAAGTCACCTGTTGAAATGTTTTTACTCAGATCCTAACACAGCAAGGACCTATGGGTACCAGGGGTCACCGAGGGCCGATACTCACCACAGCTCACAGCGCCCTGCTTCCTGGAGCCCGCCAGCTCGTTCCCGTACTTGTCTACGCACCAGCACTGGCCAGTGCTGCCGTGGCACTGCGTGGCTTTGTAGTAGCCCTCCTCGTTACAGTGCGGTACGAATGCTCCTGCGGAAGCAGAGAAGGGGAGACACTCATGGGCACTGCCCTCTGAGACTCAGCAGAGGGCTCGCGTGGCAGGCGTGGTACTTGCTATAGGGCTAGCACAAGGGTGGCTGGTTGTTACTTAGTCAAGATTACAGGGCCCCGAGACTCGCTCAAGGATAGATAGGAAGCACATGCTATCCATATGAACTTTTACTTTTAGTGTTTTTTCCCAGATTTACTGAGATACTATAATACACTTACACTGCATCAAGTGTACGGTGCACAGCATAATGACTTGACTTACACTGTGAAATAGTTACCAAATAGGTTTAGCTAATGCCCATCATCTCCTATAGATACAAAAAAAGGGAAAGAAGGTTTCCTTGTGATGAGAACTCCTAGAACGTACTCACTTAACAATTTAGATCATACCTCACAGCAGTGCTAACGATAGGCATCATGTTGTACACTGTACCCCTGATACTTTTGACTGGAAATTTGTACTTTTTGGCACCCTGCTTCTCCTGTCCTGCCTGTCTGCTCTCTTTTTCTAGGAATTCTTTTTGTTTGTTCATTTTTATAAGTGAGACCATACAGTTTTTGTCTTCCTCTGATTGTTCCACTTAGCATAATGTCCACAAGGTCCATCCATGTTGTCGCAGTTGGCAGGATTGCCTTTGTTTTTATGGCTGAATAATATTCCATTGGCTGTATATTCCACAGCTACTTTATCCATTCATCCATCCATGGACTCTTGGGTTGTTTCCTTGTCTTGGCTATCTTGTATATTAAAAGGCTAATGTGCAAATCGCCTGAACAGTGGAAGAACTGGTCACTATGACGTGCACTGACCACCAGGGGCAGATGCTCAGCACAGGAGCCGCCTCCTGGTGGTCAGTGTGTTCCCACAGGGGGAGCGCTGCCCAGCCAGAAGCCCCGAGCTGGGCTCACGGCTGGCGCGTGCAGCAGTGGTGGTGGGAGCCTCTTCTGCCTCTGCGGCTGTGCGGGGAGCAGCCCTAAGCCATCAGTCGGACATCCCCTGAGAGCTTCCAGACTGCGAGAGGGCACAGGCGAGGCCGAGGGACCCCTCTGAGTGCACGGACTCTGTGCACCAGACCTCTAGTTGTAAATAATGCTACGGTGAACATGGGGGAGCATATATTCTTATGTGTTGATGTTTTTGTTTTCTTCGAGTAATATCCCAAAATGAAATTGCCAGATCATATAATAGCTCTATTTTTAATTTTTTAAGAAACCTCCATACTGTTTTCCATATGCTGCACCAATTTACAATCTCACCAATAGTGTACAAGGGTTCCCCTTTCTCTATATCTTCCCCAGCATTTGTTATTTTTATGATAGCCATCCTATTGGGCATGAAGTGGATCTGATTTGCATTACCCTAATGATTAGTGATGTTGAGTACATTTTCATGAACCTATAGGACATTTGTATATCTTCTGTGCAAAAGAACTATTCAGGTCCTTTGCCATTTTTTAATTGAATGATGATGTGATTTTTGCTATTGATTTTTATGAGATCCTAATATATTTTGGATACAAACCCCTTACAGATATATGGTTTGCAAATATTTTCAATTCATAGATTCTTTTCACTTTGTTGACGGTTTGCTTTGCTGTGCAGAGGTGGTTTAGTCTGATATAGTTCCACGTGTTTGTCTTTTATTTTGATGTTGTGCTTTAGGTGTCATATCCAAAAAAACCATTACCAAGACTCAGGTCAAGGAGCTTTGTTTTCGTTAGGAATTTCATGGTTTCAGGTCTTACACTTAAGTCTTCAATAAAGTTTAAGTTAATTTTTTTTGTGAGTGGTAAAGGATAGGGGACTAGTTTTATTCTTTCACATGTAAAAATTTACCTTTATTGAACAGACTGTCTTTTCTCCACAGAGTGTTGGGTACCTTGTTAACCATACATGCAGGGGTTTATTATTGGGCTCTTGATTCTGTTCTGTTCCATTGGTCTCAGGGTGTGTTTTTATGCTATCTGGTTTTGATTACTATAGCTTTACAATGTAACTTGAAATCAGTAGTGTGATGCTTGTTGCTTTGCTCTTTTTTTCCCTCAGGATTGCTTTGGCTGTCATGGTTTTTTGTGGCTCCATACAATTGTAAAAAATGCCATTGGAATCTTGATAGGGACTGCATTGAATCTATAGGTAGATGATTTTGGGTAGTATTATTAATTCTTCTAATTAATTATTAAAAAGAGTATAAGGTACCTTTTGATTTTACCATGCCTTTGTTTTCTTTGGTTAATATCTCATGGATTTTAGTATAGAGCTCTTTTGCCTCCTTGGTTAAATTTATTCCTAAGTATTTTATTGTTTTTTATGTTACTGTAAATGGGATAACTTTATTACTTTTTTTCAGATAATTTGTTGTTAGTGTGTGATAGAGCCATATATTCCACCACCACCACCACTACCTCCCCCCTCCCCCCCCCGCCACTATTTCTGTATCAAACTAATGAATTCATGAAATTAGGGCATTTTTCTCTTTTCCCCACAAAGTGAGAATGACCTCTTCCATAAAAATATTTTGGACCTGGTGCATATTGGGGTAATGAGTAGCATTTTGATTTAAATTAATTTCATGGTTTGTTTAATCCATGTTGTCTCCTGGTTCTTTGTGTCTCAGATATGGTCATCATAGTGTCTATTTAAAGTAAGTTTTCATTATTGTTAATAATTGGTTGATAGCAGTGGCTCTAGAAGTGTTCACATAGGACCAGCAGCTACAACATTGCCTGGAAATGTGTCAGAAAGGAGACTATTGGGCCCAACCCCAGACCTACTGTACTTGAAATTGTGACATACTTAACCCTCCGTGTGATTCTGATACACACGGAAGATTGGGAATGGCAAGTTTGCAGTATTCTGAGGTTACATCCCACTTCTAAATCCACAGTAGCATTTGAGCTTTCAAATTGGCAACAGTTGGTCTATGTCATTGTTTTCTGCTTTAGTTGTAATCATTTCAGCTTATTGTGGTGTTCCTAAAGCTTCCTGATTTTGTTAGTTGTGTTTTTTATAAATGCATTTGAAGCTGTGAATGTTCCTCTTAAGTTTCACTGTGATTGCCTCCCTCCAATTTGGGTACACAGTGCCTTTCCTTTCAGTCAGTTCTAAATGTTTTGTAGTTTATACTATATTTCATCTTTGAGTATTTACTTATTTTTAAAACCCAGATGTATGGGGTTTTAACAATCTCATTTTTGACTTCCACTTTTATTGGTTTGTGGCAAGTGAATTTGGTCTGTGATTGTTTTTGAGATTGGTTTTCTTGGCATAATCTGTGGCAAATATTTCATGTGTGTTTGAAAACACTAATTTCTATGCTGATGTAAAGGAATACATGTATGTAAATGCTAATTAATCATGCTATGCAATTCTTCTCTCTGCCTACTTGAACTGTAGGTTTTAAGGAGAGAGCTGTATTTAAAGTTTCTATTTATAAATATGGCAATTCCTCCTTGCAGTTTTGTTTTAGTCATGGGTATACCAATTGATGATGTCACATAGTAAAAGGTACATTTCAGCAAGATGATATTGTATTTTTGGAATTCCAAACAAAGTGGTTGTTTCCATCCAATTTTAACAATGTTATAACAATGAGTCTTTATTATCTTAATTTCAGATTTGTGTTTTATATGGAACTCTTTTCAAAAATGCAAATCAATAGTCTGAGTTAGGTCCATTCATATATATTGTTATTACAGATAGGTTTGCTCTTATTTCTACCTCTATTTTGTATTTTCTATTTATTTATTTTCCCGTTTTCTGCTTTGTGTTGTATATTTATTTTCTTCTATATTTTATTATCCTTAAATTTACCAGAGAAGCATATTTTTACTTACTAGAGGCCCAGTGCAGAAATTCATGCAGGGGGGTTCCCTCAGCCCAGGCTGCACCCTCTCCAATCTGGAACCTCTGGCTCCTAACTGCTCACCTGCCAGCTTGGCTGATAATCCCTAACCACTCTTCCTGATCGCCCCGAACTGCTCCCCTGCTGGCCTGATTGGCCCCAACCACCTCTGCCTCGGCGCCTGGCACCCTGGCTTTGTCTGGAAGGATGACCGGAAGATGTCCAGTTGACCTGGTCTAATTAGCATGTTACCCTTTTACTAGTATAGATAAGATGTAAAGTTAATCTATGTTTTGTTTTCTTCCTGAACAAATCAAATTTAACATTTTTACCACTTTTTCTCACTGCCACCAACACTCTGAAATCTTATGTTCAGCTTGCTATAAAAAAAAAATGTTATAGCGTGTACATGTAGACTTAGCTGCATGTCTTTCTCACAGTTAATTCCTCTAGGATTATTTTTATCTTCTGCAGAGCAAAGCATCCGAGTGAGATTCAGTACGCCTGGGACTGGGCACATCACTGTCATCACACTGGAGCATGCTCGCGGGGTAAGTGGCTTTCCAGGTTGCAAGTGTTTCCTCTCAGCACTTGGAGATATGATTTCTTCAGTCAGTATTGCTAAGCTGATTCTCATTGAGCTGCAGATAATCCTTATGGCTGGTTTAGTTTTGGTTTTTCTTAGGGTGCCTGTCTGATGACTGCTCATCTTTTATGGGGCTTCTCCTGAGCGAGTGGACTGTCTGCGTCAAACCTGTGAAGACAGGCTTCAGCTTGCTATTGTGGTTTCCTACTCCCTAGTTTTATTTCTGATTTTTTTAGACTAAGTTCCTTTTTTAATTTACCTCTTACTTTTTGGTATAGACCCCAAAATGAAGTGTGGCCAGGGAGGGAGAGATTTTTACTACATGAACCTGGGTTTGAGCCCTGATCCAGCTGACAGGAGGGACTACTGTAATCACTCCTGCAGCAGGCTCCTCAGCATCTCGGATGGGCAGAAAGCCATCCCTACATGACAGGCAAGCCTGTTGATGCTGCAGTGAGACAGGCGGTGCCCACACTCCAACTTAGGGACTCTCTCAGCACTCCCAAGTCTTCAGGGAGGAAGTAAAAATAGATGCTTTCAGTTACCAAAATGCAGATTCATGCACAGAGGCTCAAATAGGACCTGCAAAGGAGAACAAGCAGAGAGCTGGAGAACGTGGTTGCTCTTTGAGCTGCAGTTGGAGAACAGGTGACTAATAAACCAATAAGACAGCATTGGGCTGGGCCCGCAGGTGAGCAGGAAGCAGGTGCTGCTCTCTGCCTATAATGTGACAGGATGGCCACTCTTTTAAGTAACGATAATGGATTATAATGGCAGTCATTGTAATGGATTAGGATTTGCTGTTGCTTGTTTTGTCTGTATTCAAGGGCATTTCAATTTTAAAAAAATAATGTATTACATTAGAAGATTTCACCATGAGAAAAATAATTTGTAAGCAGGTAGACAGTATTTCTATTCGTCAGCCAGACTCATTGCCGTGTGATAGCAATGTGGTAGGAAGGAAGCCTAGAAACTAGGTGGACTCATATCTGGAGAGAAGGAGGCATTTCAAGTAGATGAGCTCAGATAATGGGAGATGTAACATGCTATCTCAGACCATGTCTTATGTCTCATGCGTTATGAATTAATGAAGCAGTAAGGAGATATCACACCCAATGGAAACAACTACTTTAAAAATAGCATTATACTCGCTCCGTAAGTACCTGTGGGTATGGGGCACATCACTCAGACCCAAGTGGCCTCCCACGTGGAGGAATCAGGTCAGTAAGCACAGGTCCCACGGGAAGACCTGCGGGGGGAGGGGGTTTCTCCACTCGGCCTTCGGGTCAGAGAGAGGCCTTCCTGTGCTCACATGGGGGAAGAGCCTGGGACCAGACAGGTCAAGTTCCCAACTCCGGAGTGTCAGGTGTGCCGAGTTTGAGGCGAGCAGTGAAATAAGTAACTTTCAAAAGGGGAAGGGAGGAGTGCGAACTCTGAGGGGTCAGGAGGGGGAAACAGCCAATCTGTGAAAAACCTGCCCATTTCCATCAGGCAAATAAACCTCTGCAGCGGCAAGCTGCCTAGGGAATGCGCTGCCCTGAATGCCTCATAAGAACGATCCTGAGTTATTGCTGCAGCTGGTCAGATGGTTTTTAAAAAAGGAAAGCAAATGCTTACTCCTTTTTTCCAACAATGAGTTGTACCCACCTTTCGGGGCTGGCGTGGAGCTAGAGGGAGCGTGTGCTCCCTCAGGCCGGCTCTGCTTCCCCCACCTCGGCCAGGCCTGCACGTCTGGGAAATCACACAACCCACCTGCTTCCACCTCATCATTCGGACAAAGAAAGGAGAAGAAATGTGTGCTGTCCGGGCCAGGCACCTTACACTTCTTTTCGAGGGATCACGTGAGCATGGAAAGAAATATGCTCACGTCCACTCACGTCTGTGAGTCCTATCTGATAGTCCTACGAGGGAGGATGGCTCATCTCCTCCCTCAATGGGCAGCTTGAGCTAGGAATACAGGAAGTTCTATCATTTTAGAGCTGGAAGGAACACCCGAGAGCTCCCTTCAATGGCTGTGCTTAAAAGAAGAAAAAGCAGAGATTTGCTGGAGCCCAAGGTGAGGGGAGAGACTCCAATCCTGGCTGCCTTGCCCACCAGCCTGGCCTCTCCTCTTGCTAGTTTTCAGCCAACTCACCAGCCCTCAGGCCGGGCCCTGCTGAGTGTGGCCTAGGACCAGGTCCCTGGGGGAGACCTGCATAGGGTAAAGTGAGGCATTCCCTAACTGAATAACCATTGCTGTGCCCAGTATCACTGCAAGAGACATGTTGCTTCAATTGGTTATTGAAATGAGTGGCAAGACACTGTACTTACCCAGCAGGCTTTTCCCCTTGCTCAGCTTCTGGATCCTGCTCACTTCATTCTGGCAAGGGAGACCTGCAATGGAGTGTATGGAAATCAGGGATCATCCCTAGCCACTGGCCTCCCTCCTGACAGGAAACGCAGACAGCAGCTCCCCTGGGAGTGGGTTACTGCAACTACTGTTACTGCACAGCAAAACAAATCCAGGCCAGAGTGTTACTAATTAAAAGGACAAAACTCACACCATGAGATACTTAAAATAGTACTTGGGGGCTCCTTGTACGGGAATTTTCTTCCCACCACCATCACCAGGTGACTAAAAGGTGATTTGCTAACAAGCTTTCTATAGGGAAGTAAATAATGAGCTGAGGACCGACACTTCCTGGTGGGTATGTGTTCAGAATCCACAGACTAGCTAACCAGAGGGAAGGGGACAGACACGGAGCCCACACTGGGTTCTGCTGAAGAGAGGAAGCGGGGTAGACTGGGCCTCATGGCTTACTACCCAGGAGAGTACAACAGGCCTCGCACAAGCCATCCAGAGAGACAGCAGCATAACTTTCAGCTGAGAGCTTTGGGCATGTGTCTCAGTCTCCGAGCCTCAATTATAAAACAGGCTGTTATGAACGAGCACAGAACCCTCAGTTCTCCATGAGAGAACCACACGGCTAAGCAGGGCATATAAAAAGGTATCACACTCTTTTACTCCCTAGAGAAGCTTCTTCCACTCAAGCCCAAAGAAAGGTGACTTCCCAGGACTCACCTGTGCAGGCCCTGTGCCTCTGGGAGGCCCTGCTGGCCCTCATGGGTCTCTGAGCACAGACAGAGACGCTCCAATCCCCAGGGACCTGGACTACCTCTAGGGCAGGTGCTGGGCCTGGACAGCACCTGCCACATCTGTCCCCTGCGGGTCTCCCAGTGTCACCAGGCCTGCTGCTTGTTCCCCGAGAGAAACTGGCTCTAAAATACATTGTGTTTACTTCTGGGTTTGAGATACCAACTGAAATGGAAAACAAATTTCATCTGTGATGATTAAATTTGGTGTTTACTGTGATAATGAACATTTACTGAATTCGTGGAATGTACCAGACAATGTCCTAGAACTCTGCATCTTCATTAGTTTAATCTTTATAACAACCGTGTAAGGCGCTTAGCAAATAGAAATTCCTCTCTGTGGAAGGCACGACAGGGCAGAGCAGCAGCTGTGGACAAGGGAAGACGGCCCTGGAGAGAAAGGCAGGAAGATCACACCATCCCGATAGTGTCCTTTAAAACAGGACTCATACTCTTAGGCTTCTTCCTCCAATTGTGCTCCATCCTGTGGTTTTAAAAATTCTGCTTATTGAAAGGTGAAAAAAAAAAAAAATCAGACTGAGGCCTGCTAAAACACTGCTGCAGGGAACAGAGGAAAGCACAAAACTCCAGGTAAGAGCCGCCACAAAACAGGTTTGCTGCTGAGCAGGTGAAAGCCAAAGCCCAGCTCTCTCTCTCTGTGGTCAGGGCTTCCCACGGAAAGGAGACTGCAAGGCTAGAGTTAAATGCACAGATGCCAAGGGTCAAGGATGAAAGTGACAGAAAGAGGACAACTGAGCAACGAAAGAAGCACAGGCTCTGTCTGCAGCTCCGGGTTCGATGCTCAGCATCCACCTGCAACCAGTCCTCCCCGAGAAGAGGGTGACCCAACAGGACTAACCGCTCAGCAGAGTGACAGGGGCTGAGAGAAACCGAGACACGTCCTAGGAAATCCGTGCCCTTAAAGGTGAAGAATTCCAGGCAAAATGGTTCTACCACCAGTAAAAGGGAAAACAATTGGTGTGTGTTCCCATTATTCTGTACTTACACCCAGTGCTGGGAGAATGTTTTAAAAAGGTATCAGAAAAGAAACTGTAACTCCAGGAAGTTTATGCTTAGCATTTTTGCTTCTGAAAAGTCTAAAACTCAAACTCGGCAATAAAATTAAAGAGAAAAAAATCAAAACCAGTGAACAAATAATCCTATACATGACAGTTTAAAAGTGGCTCTAACAATTGTCTTGGGCCAAAGAGGCACTGAGATACTTAACTGCAGAGCTATCTACAAATTAGCCATATTGGAAATACCAGACACCAATATGGAAGGTCTACAGATCAGGAAAAACTTTGGGGAAAAAATTTAGCCTCAAGTACATAATAATGAAATGTGGAAGGAAAATGAAAACCCCAGAACTGGGTTGGGGTCAGGGACAGAGATGGTGGAGACCTAACAAAAAAATAAAGCAACTTATTTAAGAAAATGGTAGAACCAGTGCTCGCTTCGGCAGCACATATACTAAAAGAAAATGGTAGAACCACACAAAACGAGAAACACACGGAAAAGAACTACCACAAATTACTGTGTCAACTCACCCAGCCACAGTGTGGGTCCTGCCGAGAGGGGAGCCTGCCTGACACCCCAGGTCCAGGGAAGCCTGAGCCCCGAGGCTGCGCTCACCAGGCTAAGCCTGACCGCTGGCTAAGGCCGCGTGACTTCGTAGGAACTCAGGCCCAAATCTGTCACTAAGCTTCCCGCTGAACCACTGCAAGCATTTCTATTGAAGTAGAAAACATGGCTATTATTTAACATCAATTGGGAAGTACTAGCAGATGTGATTAGAGAAGAGAAAGAAATGAGGTATGGAAATTGAGAAGGAAGACAGAAAATCAGCACTGTTTGCAGATGCTATGACGGCACAGCTGAAACATCCAAGGAAACCAACCAGGAAAACCACTTACCCACAATGAGAATTTAGTAAGGTGGCGGAGAACAAGTTAATACTGAAACCACCACCAGCAAGGCACACAATGAGAAAGAAATGATTTCATTTCCCATGGCAACAACAAACACAAGGATGTAGAATGTTGGTGAGAACAGAACCGGTGGTCGGCCTGGTTTATAGACAGAACCTGTTCTTGGGCAGAATGGTTCACTTCCACAGCCATCAGTTCTCTCTATATTAATATCATTGTGCCTGATTCTAAAAAGAAACCAGTAAGCATTTTCTTATTGAATAAACTGATTCTAAAGCTCCAAATGTATGAGAACATCCAGGAAAATTCTGAGAAAAGACCAATGGCAGCAGAGGTTGGCCCTATTGGATATTAAAACGGACTGTAAGACAACTGTAACTTGAAGTTTAGAACTAACAAATATTCAGTTCAATTAATAGGACGGAATAGACGGATATACACGTAGGAGTTTTCTATGACAGAGGAAGCATTTCAAATCCGAAGGAGAAAGATGGTTAGTCAATAAATGTCGGGAGAGCCACTGGACAGCCGTTTTCGGACATGGCTGGTGGGGGCTGGGACCCCACTTGACTGTGCAACAAAAAAATCTACACTGATACAAGATTTCAACACACACACACAATCCCAAAGGCGGTGAAGGAAACACACAAGAGAGCGGCTGTACTATCTTAAAGTGGGAAACAACTTTCTAAGCTTAATTTAAGCTTTGTGGCTGCTAAGAGGCCATAAAATAAAAGATGGGGAAATCTATCTTAAAATCTAACATTTCTCCCTAGCTAAAATACAGTTGAAGCTGGGAAAAATCACTTGCAATATGTATGACTACAACAGTCCTAATATCCTTAGAAATAATTCTTATTAAAAACAAACGAACAAGCACAAGAACCCAATAGAAAAATATGAGGCATTTCAGGGAAACTGAAGAGTGTCGCAAGCAAACATAAAGAGGTTTAGCCTAAGCCATCACACGGTAGATGGAGTCCAGAATGATCACACAGTTTGTGAAGAACGTGGGCAACGAGGTATTCTTGTGTATTTCTTCATGAGCGTAAAAACTGCCCTCTTTGGAGAGCAAATTGGAAGCTGCTCAAACTTAAACACGTGCATGGCCTTTTGACCAGTAATTCTGTTTTTCAGGAATGTGTCGTGTAATTCTATAAACATACACACGTATGTACTTCTCACTGAGTGCTCTTCTGTGATGCCTACTTATATTTTCTGCTGTATGTGTACTGTTTGTGCATTCATTCACAATTTTAAAAAAATATTTCCATTCATTTTTAGAGAGAGGAAGAGGAACATTGATGCAAGAGAGAAGCTTCTATCGCCTGCCTCCTGCATGCCCACACCAGCCATGGAGCCTGCGGCCCCAGCATGTGCCGTGACCGGGAATCCACGAGGCAATCCCTCTGTGCGCCAGACAACACCCAGCGGAGCCACACTGGCCAGGGCAACACGTATACACTTTAAATGCCTTAATGTTCACGTCCTTCCCTTTCCCAGGGTGGGTTCGGACAGCCATGCGTATGGCATGTTATCCTGAGGACCTGACCTAAGCTGGACCAGACTTCTCTGGGTTTGAGATTGGCAGCGAGTTTCTGCTGGTCCTGAGAGCTGTGGACCACCAGACCTGGGCACCCCGCCTGCCCCCTGCTCCCACCCCACTCCAGGAAGCTGAGACAGAAAAATAAAGCCAGACCTGAGATCTCTCAGGGAGTCTCATAGCTCCTGCTGGATCCCTGAGCTGCATTCTAGTCCCTCGTCTGCACAAGTGAGGCTCACTCTCCTGACGGGTTACACAAGATGCCCCTGTGTTCTGTCCACGTATTCCTCAAAGCCTGCCTTCTTTATTTCTTCAGTTAGCCAGAGTTTATTTATAACCGCAATATCCTTGTCTAAGATACTCAGTATAAGTCCTACTATCCCAGAGCTGACTCCTGGTTTTTTCTAAGGGGAACATAGAAATCCATGTGACAGTGGGAATTTCCCACAGCCATCTTGAGAATTAATGTTGCAAAGATTTCCACACCCATTTTACAGAGGAAAAGGCTGAGGCACAATATAATTAAGAGATTTTTCCCAAAAGGAAAATTTGAAATAACGGATTCACTGATTATGCTCTAGGGTTTTCTAAAATACATGATAAAAACAGAAAGAAAATAAGAAAAAAAGAGCCTTTAATGGACTGGAGGCTTTACTCTCTAGCCACATCCTCCTTCCTGCTAATCTCCGCCTCCCCAGGGTGCGGTTCTGCCGGCCTGGCTGCCCTGGGCTCCCCCAGCCTCCCCCGGCCTTACCTCCCGGCTTCTGGAAGCAGTAGCACCACTCATTGTTGGAGAGCTTGCCGTCCTTAAAGGAGTCACAGGAGTTGAAGAGAGGCTTGATGCAGGGCTCGTACTTGTCCAGGTAGATGGCATTGATCTCCGAGTGGTCAAGCAGGAGGTCATAGTTCATGTCCAACTTGTTGAACATCCAGCCCAGGGAGTCCTTGCAGATGGGCAGGATGCTGGTGTCAAACCCTGCGAGGGAAGGTGCGTCAGCTGCCAGGGCCTGGATGCTCCTGCCCGGGAGGAGGCCCAGTGCCTGTCCCACCTTCCTGAGGCTGTTCCCCTCTAGGGGACAGTTTCAGTGGCACTCTGCTAGAATATGTTGCGGGGTGGGGGGGGCGTTTAAATGAAACAATTTAAAATGCACAAAACCAGAAGTTAGCATCTAAGGAAAATATGTTTAAGGGGCACAAATCTCCAATGCTCATTTATCTGTAATGTAAGTATGGGTTTTCATTTACAAGACTTGCCTAACCCGGGTGTGCCTGAGAGAAGAATGTACACAGGGTGAGTAAGAGAACTAATAACAGTACTGCAAACTACGCTTTGACATTTAGGGAAATAATTGTAAAAGGACGGCAGTAAGAGCGATCACGTGGCACAGTCCTGCACTGCTGACCTTCCCAAGCAGCCTCAGTTCCTGTGCTTCTCTTCTGCTCGCCCCTCAGAGGTACATGAACTGGAACCAAAACTGACTCAGACAATAATTTTATTTCCCTGGTGGAGGAGGGGTTGTTTTCTTAAAGAAATACTTGTAGCCGCAAAGGAAACTGTATGCACCCAAATAAAAACTTTGCTTACCATTTGGGATTCTGAGTCTACCATAGCCAAGCCGCAGAGAGGGCATGCCCCAAATCTAACTTCTTCCAGAGCCAAAAGCACTCGTGATTTCACATTATACCACAAGCTAGATTTCTAGGACTAGTTTCATCTTCCCAGAAAACTGAGACAAAGGTTCACTTTTGTCTTACTTTGAGGAACCCTTGTAACGGTCCTGTGAAATAATTCTATATCCGCTTTACTGACAGATGAAAAAATAAAAGCTCAAGGTCATACAATTGTGGAGCTGGGATTGGAACCCAGGGAGCCCCGCCCTGAGTCTACACTCTCAATCCATCCTCTCCCGGGCTGCCTCCGCCCAGCAGGATGCATGACCTTCTGTTCCGAGGACATCCAGCTGGCCAGGTGCCCTGTTTGGGGATGGACAGTGCAAGTTGAGTGGAGGAACACAGTGGCATTAGCGAAGGGTCCTGATGAGGTTGATAATCCCACCCACATCCTGGTCACTGGGCTTCTATGTACATCACCCGCTTAGTACAGCGTAAGAGCAAAATATGCCCTCCTTTTTTAAAGCACTGTGTTTACCAAAGGGTCTCCACTACCAGAAGCCTCCCGCTCCTGCCCACCCACACTCTGTTAGAGCCAGTGCTCCCCCAGTGCTCCCAGAGGCCCAGGGCCATTCCCCTCCGTAGCCTGAGCTGGGACAGGCGCATAGTAAATGCTCAATAAAACTATTTGTTGAGAGAAGTTTTCTAGCTCCCGCAAAGTTTACCGCTAAAATCACAAAAGCCTTTCCATTTTTATATGTATTCCTCTTGCTATCTTAGAACACATCTGAGAACATCTTTTTCAAGGACAGAGACTGGGGACACAGTGTGGCCTCTCATTTGATGATGATTACCCCGGGGGCTACCAAATCTGAAAGATAATTTATCCCAACACCAAGTGGCTCCACACGTGTTGTCAAAATACTTTATGCATCAGTTTCATAGGATATTAAAATATCCTGGGAAAGAGGAGTTTACTGCTGATTGCCCACCAAGAAGAAGTGCCTAGAAGGGCCAAGTCCACTTCTCACCTAGTAGGAAGGTTCTAGAAAAGAAGTTCCTGCATCTGATATCTAGGGGTGGGGTGGGGGGACAGAGCAGCCCTCCTAACTGGGCCCAAGCACATGGGATGTCTAGGGTTCCCTGGCTTTGGCCTCAGCCTCCCTGGCCTCTATGCCACACTCCCCTCTGCTCCCCTCACTCCAGCTACTTGGGGCCATCAAACCAGAAGCCCCTCTGGGACTCAATCAGCTTCCCGCCAGGGCAGCTTTGCCCGGGCTCCCAGTGTCTACAGAAGGATCCCCAGACCGCAGTGGCAAGGAGCAGCCCTCCGCACGGCGAAGTGCTCTGGGAGGATCCCAGGGGAAAGCTGCTCCAGACCACCTGTGGCTCACCTGTCCACACTCCCAAGGAAGCCCCCAGCGGGAATAAAAACATACCTACTTCCCCTTCGCCAGACACAGACTCTGTGGACACGTAGATCCCGGAAGCAAACACTCTCTTTCCTTTACCTCAGAAGATCCAAACTAGTGGAAGAAGTGTCCGCCCCACCAATGTTCCCTATCAGTATCTATGGCTCTGAACAGCAAAGAATAACCAAGAATTAAGGGGAACATTCTTCTTCTGGCTGAAGACCTGATGCTGGTTAACTGGGTCCCAACAGTTACAAAGCTCCTTGTCCTGCACTCACTGTATTGTTGACTAACCCCCTCTGTGTTGACGGCCACATGTGGAGAAGCATACCTCCTGTGGAGAAGACATCATGGACAGACTCTGTCCAAGTACAATGTGAGAATCGGTTCTGAGTGTTCCCTTGTCTGTGAGGAGGCCCTGCAGTTGGGTGAGGGGGTGAGGGGCCCCTGGCTTGGAGTGTCTGTGGGAACGAAATGCAGTCTCGTGTCCACTGAGACAGATGATCAAAGGTGTTTGCTACGATGTTGTTTAAAAGAGCTGAACATTAGAACAACTTCACGGCTCCAAAGGTCGGCATCAATTACATTATATCCATAAAATGGGATTCTCTGTAGCTATTACAAGCAGAATCCTATTCAACAACAGAAAGGTAGCTGCAGTGTATAGCTAAATGATAAAAGATCATACAACAGGCTGCAAAGTGTTATGTAAATACACACATTTTTTCCCATATGACAAGGAAAATGTATCAAAACATGCCTAACAGCTGCTCAAATAATGGCTTTATAGATTCTTTTTGCATTTATATATATATTTAATATATTTCCCCAAATGTGTATACTAAACATACAATAATTTTTCAACTACACTTAAGTTACTTTATAAATTCAGATTCCCAACTATGGATCCAAAATTTGTATAACTATTGTATTGTCCAGATTCTAAGGCATTTTCCCCTCCACTATATTTTAATATTTCTGAAATTGGGACATATTTTAAGTCAGCATGAATATTTAATGTAGAGTATCTTTGTTCACTCCCAAAATGCTGTTATTGCTAATTCAACAATGTCTGCTAACTGAGAAAACGTGGTGGTTTGAAATGAAATAAATTAGCCAGAGTGACGTGGTCTTACTGCCTTGGGCCGCCTCGGAGCTGGTGGGCTTGATGACCCTGTTGGCGTCCTCATGAAGGGCTCCGAACCAGTCCTTCAGCCGGGAGGCGAGGTTCCTCAGCTCCTTGTCCGTGCAGGCTGGAGAAAAGCAAACGGGGGATCAGTGCGGCCGTGGGCTTTCCCCTCCTTAGCGCTGTGTCCTTCCCATGGGGTGCCACCATCTAAGCCATGCCCAAGAGAACTCCCCTCCAGCCACCACAGAAATTCTTACCCCCACTCTGATAACCCCCAAAGGTGCTGCGGTCACAGGTAGAGTCTGTGACGGACCCTGGGCTCCTAACCCGTGGTGGCTCGCCGTTGTGCCCAGCCTAAAGCCAGTCACAGATGCCTCTGCTAACCGTAACACTGGCTCTTGCAGTTGGCAGCAGATGATTTTTCCCACTAAACTCACGCCCAAAGCCTGATGCTCAGGAATAGCTATGCTCTCGGGGAGAGTCTGCCTGGGACACCGGAAGGTCCGGGAACAGCGGGTTCTCAATTCTGTGTTAGCCCAAGGTTTGGGTCTGTGGCTGTGGTCATTTTGCTCGCCTTTGCTGACTTCACCTTCCCCCTTAGACACATGGATGCCTTGTCCATGCAAGAGTCCTTTCTGTTGGAGCCCATCTGTAACTATCATCTGGGGCCAAGAATACTCTTTCTGAGAACAAGAAGAAATCTGGATGGATGGATGGATGGATGGATGGATGGATGGTGCAGGCTGCTGAAGGTCTCATGGAGTGCTGAGATAAAGCTTGAGGGAAGAAATCCCGAGGGAGGGACCACAGTGCAGAGAATGGAGCCGACATTCCCTGGATCCCTGATGTTGGGTATTGAGAATCCTGGCAAAGGGTCCAAGCACTGAGCTGCTACCAAGATGCATGAAAACTTGTAATGGATTTAGTGACCTTTAGCATTTGAAAGTACAGAAATTAGAGACTTCAGGGACCAAAATCCCAATAAGTTGAGAAGGGATGAAGAAGTGAACCCTACAGCTATAATTTTCCCCAAATTCTAAAGTTCAGGAGACAGGCTGTGAAGCAGCCAAGCAGGAACACTGTTACAACACAGAGCCCAGGTCTGAATGTCTCCAGGTGCTCCCAGGACGAAGATTACAGCTGAAATGTACCATGCACAGGCCAGCAGACACCCAGGCTCCTCTGGAAGGCATGGGGCAGCGACCAACGCACATACGTCTGGCCAAGCTCCTGCCCCCTCCAGGGAGTGCAGGCTCGCACTGGGTTGAGGTACGAGCTCCCGTTTGCCTCCCACTGGGCAGGGTGAATCCCCATCATCTAGACTAGGGGTGTCGAACACAATCAGAGAAGGGGCCAAAATCTAAAATCCAGCCTAAATCGCGGGCCGAATGGTTTACTGAACAGTCATAAACTGTCATTGTGATGGAAACGCAGCGGAGTGCAGTGATGACAGCGCGGTGTGGGCCACATTGCAAGGCCTGGCGGGACGGATTTGGCCCGCGGGCCTTGTGTTTGACACATGTGATCTAGACCCTCTCCTCATTCTTAGTCTGCTTCCAGGTGAGCTGCCTTTCCCTCACCGGGCGGGCTCGGTGGGGAACAGGCAGACTTGCAGACCTGGGGCAGGAAATGTTCCCCACTCTACCCTTGAGGGCAGGTGAGCAGACCTGGGCTGGGTTTTGCAAGCTCAGCCCTGTCTCCATGGGAGCCGCCTTCATTCCAGCAGGGATCCAAATCCAAACCCTGCAAAACATGGTGTGGTGGTGTGGCCATTGTTTAGACGCAGCTTGCTAATGACCTCAAGACACTGCCTTGTGGGTACAAGGAGCAGACTGACAGCTATCAGAGGAGAGGGGCTCGGGGGACTGGAAGAAAGAAGGGAAGGAACTAGCAAAAACAAAAACGTAGATACATAACACACAGACATAGACAACAGCGTGACAGCCAGAAGTAACGGGGGCGAGATGGAAGCGGAGGTAGGAAAAGGGGGGACATGTGGACTGAAAGAGGCTTTGCTTGGCGCAGTGGGCACACGATGCAGTGTGCACATGATGTTCTGTTGACTTGAACACTTCAAACCTGAATGGCTTTGTGAACCAATGTCACCCCAATAAATTCAATTTAAAAAATCACACACACACACAGCCTTGCTTTCATCAACCAGGGCAGACGGTGTCTTAAAACTCCAGCCAAAAGTGCCCCGAGAGCTGACTGACAGGCCGCAGAGTAACACCTGGGCCCATGCTGCCTGGACTGGCAGGGCGACTCAAACAGGCAATGGACCTCTCGGTGGCTCAGTCCCCTCATCCATAACCTCAGGACATCGCATGTGACATACATTAGACAAAGCATGTCAGTTGCTTTGCAAAGCACGTGGTATGTAGTGATTACTCAGCACCTGCCAGCTGCGAGTTTTATTAACATGACGATTTTTTTTTGTTTTTACCTAGAGGGTTTATAGATAAGCTTAGAGCAAACACCATGGCATTTGGAAAACCTAAACAAAACTGAATACTTTGCCGAAACCGGTTTGGCTCAGTGGTAGAGCGTTGGTCTGCGGACTGAAAGGTCCCGGGTTCGATTCTGGTCAAGGGCATGTACATTAGTTGTGGGCACATCCCCAGTAGGGGGTGTGCAAGAGGCAGCTGGTCGATGTTTCTCTCTCATCGACGTTTCTAGCTCTCTATCTCTCTCCCTTTCTCTCTGTAAAAAATCAATAAAATATATTAAAAAAACAAACTGGCTTTGGTCACACAGGATTTAGGTGAAGTCAGATACCGCTGTAGCTAGTACAGTTGCCATTAAGTACATGTCACTATTTACATTGAAATTAAATACAAATAAAACTTATTCCTCTGTTGCTCCCACCCCATTGCAGGTGCTCCACAGGCCGCATTGCTGTGACTCCACGAGGGGGGAGAATGTCTGCCCGGAGCCATGTTGCACTGGATGACCTAGCTATCCCCGCGGGATGCCCAGCCACCGGTTTACATCATGTCCTACAATCCTGGGTCCTGCCTCCACCCCTTCCCTCAGTCTTTTATCTTTTTAAATTGATTTCAGATAACAAGGGAGAGGGAGAGAGAGAAACATCAATGATGAGAGAGAATCATTGATGGGCTGCCTCCTGTACTCCCCACACTGGGGATCAAGCCCCAAACTGGGCATGTGTCCTGACCAGGAGTCAAACCGTGACCTCCTGGTTCATAGGTCGAAGCTCAACCACTGAGCCACACCAGCTGGGCCTTCCCTCAGTCTTTACAGGTGAGCTGGGGAAGGCCACCAGCCTGCTCGCACCAGGAGCCAACACTTCATCAGCTGCATGCACAGAGGGGGGGAGGGGCTTCCTGAGGGCTGAGGTTCCAGGAGCAGGCCAACACTAACAAGCGGACTGACCCGACTCAGGACCCCTGGGGTAGAGCGTCCCCCTCCCCCCTATGTCTCTGGCTTTCCAGTGCTGCACAGCTCTAAGCAGGGGAGGCTGTGGTCCATTTTCCTGGGGGAATAGCATGCGGACTCTGCAGCCAACCTCAGTTTGAAAGGGAAAAATTAATAGCATCCATTTCTTCTCGATTGCCATCTATTCTAAACGTTCTCTAAGCAGAGAAAACTGCCTTGTCGCTGGCAAAGGAAATGAACCCCATTTCTCTGTGGAATGAGTCAGTCTGCCAGGTTAGCTGAAGCCTGACAGGTGTGCAGGTCACCGAAGCGTTAAGGGACAGCTGCGATTCCCAGGCTTCCCAACGTACAGGGCGCGGACGGCGGGTGGAGGCGCCACTGCCCTCCTGGTTGCTAGGACATCTTCTTGCATAGACCCGGCTTGTGGGGAAGCCAGGACTAACCGAGGCAGCTAATATACCAGGTGGGGATCCTGGGTTGAAAACAATCAGAACATCAGGCCCTCACATGTGAAGGCAGTTCTGCCAGGGACGCAGGCGAGGCAGCTCTTGGGACAGACGAAGGGAGGGGGCAAGCCAGGCTCCCAGCCTCGTCAGCATTGGGATGGGAGCAGTGGGCCCTGGGAAGGATCACGTGCAGCCCGCTGCCGTCCTGTGGCCCCCGAGCACGTGTCACGTGTGCAGCCACTGGGACTCCGTTAGCGAAAGAAGAGTTCATGCACATCCCTCCCCAGGAAAGCCGGCAGGCAGGGAGGTAATGTAGTGAGCTCCCAGCGGATGCTTCGTGACTGTTTGGAAAATAGAACAAAATGCAATAAGCAAGTGTGAGTCGGCACACGCAGGCGCCCTGGAAGGTATACAGTCGGCCCTGGAAGGTATACAGTCGGCCCCGGGAAGGAAATGTGACCCCTCCCCTCCACCGGAGGCCTGGAGCTTGGAGGGTGGTAGGTCAGACTGCCCCTAAATGCAAAGAGAAATCAAAGCCCGAGAAAGTCCCGAGTGACCCGGCTGATGGGGGAAGAAGGACACACAGGAGCCAATACCAAAGGACAGGAAGCTGTTAAAGGGCGGGCTGAGAGCGGAGGGAGGGCTGCTGACCTGTGAGCTTTGGCGGATGGGGAAGTCAGCTGGCCTGCATATCGGCTATGGATGGAGAGAGAGCATCTCTTCCTAACTGGATGAGGAAGCACAGCCCGGCTCCGACACCCCCTGGGGCCCATCACCCGTCGTCCCTGGCTCCCCTGTCTCCCTTCAGACAAGTTCAAGGCTCGTGAAGAGCTAGTGAGGCAGTCATTTCGGAAGGGGAGAGGCAGGAGGAGCGAGGGAAACTGGGCTTTGAAAAGTGCTCCCAAGGGCGATGCCTGGGGTTCCAAGCTGGTCTCTTGGGGGCTGAATGACACTCTCCACAGCCTCTCAGAGGACGTGATAGAAACGGGGAGACTACGGGGAGATGATATAAAAGGTGGCGGTGGGGGCAGAGCACAGACATGTGTTAAAGCTGCAGTGCTGTACCTGACGCTGAGTGACAGCAGCTGTGAGTGTGTGTCTGCCTTACAAACCCTGAGCGGAGCCACATGTGAGCCCCCAGCTGGGGATGTCTGAAAATGGCAAATTTGACACACAGGCCCGGCAAGGCCTGTGCTCCCCTGCTCGGGAACCAATTGCCAGCTATTCCTGTAACTCACCAAACACTTCCGCTAAAGAGCCGGAGGAGACAAATGTGCCA